GCAGTTGCCAGGAGAACAGTACTTGCCTAATTTTATTGTTCCAAGTGTAAAGTTTGGTGGAGGGGGGATTATGGTGTGGGGTTGTTTTTTAGGGGTGGGGCTTGGCCCCCTAGTTCCAGTGAAGGGAATTCTTAAGGCGTAAGCATACCAAGACATTTTGGGCAATTTCATGCTCCCAACTTTGTGGGAACAGTTTGGGGATGGCCCTTCCTGTTCCAACATGACTGCGCACCAGTTCATAAAGCAAGGTCCATAAAGACATGGAGTTTGGGGTGGAGGAATTTGACTGGCCTGCACAGAGTCCTGACCTCAACCCGATAGAACAAAAATGGTCAAACCTTCCCATAGACACACTCCTAAACCTTGTGGACGGCCTTCCCAGAAGAGTTGAAGCTGTTATAGCTACAAAGGGTGGGCCAACTCAATATTGAACCCTACGTACTAAGACTGGGATGCCATTAAAGTTCCTGTGCGTGTAAAGACAGGCCGACCAATACTTTTGGCAATATAGTGTATGTGGGACACTAAAAATAAACTCCAAGAGGAGACTCCACTGTCCTCTACATATACAAATCTAGTCCTTGTGCTCATTCACTATTTGGTGTAACCAGGAAAAGTTATCTATGAGATCAAGGTAACATATGAGGTCTGCAGATACCGACATAAGCTGCTTACACTCCCAGAATCCTTTGCACCAGATCTGCTCTATTTATAGGGGCCACATCCTAAATCCTCTACAGCACGCTCCGATCTTTCTAATAGGAATATAATAGGAGGCATTTTTTTTTTAAATATAAAGTCTCGCTGGAACTCCTTAGCAGGTAGGTGATTCTGTAGAAAACCCTCACATATTGAAAAGGCAAGTACATGTCTCAGCAATGTGTAAAGGGCAGCAGTATTGACAGGTAATGATTTCTTAACAATTCATCTGCCTTGCCATATCGTTACATTGGCTGCTGCACCTCATCACTGTAGGTGCGTGCGCTGGCCTATACCATGCAGTTACATCCACACAAACAAGGGAGGACACTATTATAGTGAATTTATTTGGACTTGGGGAAAAGGAAACGAAACTAACTAGGAGGCCTTATACTTTACAATGGTCTTTTTTTTAATAAAGAAATCGGGCTTAGTTTTTAATATAGATTCATATGCAGAAATATATATATTGAAGAAGTATTTTATCACATGATCATATTAATGTAAAGAAACTTTACTGTCTGCTAGACTTTTTATTTTTATTTTTTGCTAGACCCTTTATGAAAATACAGTATAGGGGCTCATGAACACAACATAATAAAGTATGTAATTGTTCATACGATAATTCAGGTTGCATGCATTTAGACACGTAAATGATGACAACGCATTCAAAACCCCAAAAATGTCCCCCCATTCCTGTAGCTAAGTTTTCAATCCCAGCCTGTTTGCGTGCGTGCGTGCGTGCGTGCGTGTATAAATTGCATGAAACAACTGACCGCTGATACAGAATTTTCTACTTTGATTTTATGCAGCTGAACTCAGCGCAAGAATACTGAGCACAACCCAGGTGTCTGCATGAGCACTTAATTAATATAGAGGATGTACCCCTGGTTCACATATATGTGGCCGCGAGGGCCGCGTTTTGCACAGGCACGAGAGCTCATTCATTTGAATGGACTCCTGTGCCCATGACACACAGGGAGGAAGTCCCTGCACTTCTTTGGAAAACGCAGCCCACACAGGAACCTCAGTTCCCAGTACAGTTGCGGTTTCCAGTGTGGGCGGCGTGCCATTAGAACATTCCTCTGTGCACCATATCATTGGTGTCTGTAGGAGGAATGGTGCCCCATCATTGGTGTCAGTGGATGTAATAGTGCCTCATATCATTGGTGTCAGTGGGAGGAATGGTGCCCCATTGTTGGTGTCAGTGGGAGGAATAGTGCCCCAATATTGGTGTCAGTGGAGTGAATAGTGCCCCATCATTGGTGTCAGTGGAAGGAATAGTGCCCCATATCATTGGTGCCAGTGGGAGGAATGGTGCCCCATCATTGCTGTCAGTGGAAGGAATAGTGCCCCGTTGTTGGTATCAGTGGATGTAATAGTGCCCCATATCACTGGTGTCAGTGGAAGGAATGGTGCCCCATTGTTGGTGTCAGTGGGAGGAATTATTATTATTATTATACAGTATTTATATAGCGCCAAAGGGTATGCTCAGCACTGTACAGTAGTAAGGGGGACAGAACATGAGACAAGACAGTAACAGTACAATACACAAGGGGTTCGAGGGCCCTGCTCTTTCGAGCTTACAATCTAGGAGGGAGGGGAAGGTGGTACAGGAGGAAATGGCTGTGGGGTATGGAGTGGTGGGAGGAGTGGAGGAGGTTAGTTGTTGGGTGAGGTCAGGTGTTAGGTGAGGTTGGGGTAGGCTTCCCTGAAGAGGAGGGTTTTCAGGGTGCGCCTGAAGGTGAGGAGGGTAGGTGACAGCCTGATGGATTGGGGTAGGGAGTTCCAGAGGATGGGGGAAGTCCTAGAGAAGTCCTGCAATCGGGCGTGGGAGGAGGAGACCAGGGAGCTAGAGAGTAGGAGGTCCTGTGAGGAGCGGAGGGCACGGGTAGGGTAGTATCTGAGTATCAGGTCAGTTATGTAGTTTGGGGCAGCATTGTGAATGGCTTTGTAGGTCAGAGTTAGCAGTTTGAATTTGATGTGTTGGGCAATCGGGAGCCAATGAAGGGATTGGCAGAGGGGGGAGGCAGATGTGGAGCAGTTGGTGAGGTGGATGAGTCTAGCCGCTGAGTTTAGGATCGACTGGAGTGGGGATAGCGTTTGTTTGGGTAGGCCAGTGAGAAGGGAGTTGCAATAGTCCAGGCTTGAGATAATGAGGGAGTGTACGAGTTGTTTGATGGTGTCTGGGGTGAGGAATGTGCGTATCTTGGAGATGTTGCGGAGGTGGAGCCTGCAAGATCTAGATAGCAGTTGGATGTGGGTTAGGAAGGAGAGGTGGGAGTCCAGGGTGACATCCAGGACTTTGGCATGTGGGGGGTGGGAGAGATGGTGGCGTTGTTATTAGTGATGGAGAGGATGGGGGGGGGGCACGGGCAGGGGGGAAGACCAGGAGCTCGGTTTTGGATAGGTTAAGTTTGAGGAAATGGAGCGACATCCAGTCTGATATGTCGTTTAGGAGGTGGGCGATGTGGGCAGAGAGTGAGGGGGTGAGGTGGGGGGTGGAGAGGTAAATTTGGGTGTCGTCGGCATAGAGGTGGTAATTGAAGCCGTGGGAGTGAATAAGTTTGCCAAGGGAGGAGGTGTAGATGGAGAAGAGGAGGGGTCCGAGGACAGAGCCTTGGGGGACCCCGACAGAGAGGGGGAGGGAGGGGGAGGTGGCAGTGTTGTAGGTGACGCTGAAGGAGCGTTGGGAAAGGTAGGAGGAGAACCAGGAGAGAGCAGCATCCCTGATGCCAAGGGAGTGCAGTTTGGCAAGGAGGAGAGGGTGGTCAACAGTGTCAAAGGCCGCGGAGAGGTCAAGGAGCAGAAGGACAGAATAGTGGCCATTGGCTTTGGCGGTTAGCAGGTCGTTGGTGATTTTAAGTAGGGCGGTTTCGGTGGAGTGCAGGGGGCGGAAGCCAGACTGTAGAGGATCAAGGAGGTTGTTATCAGTGAGGTGGGCACTTAGGCGATTGTAGGCCAGGCGCTCAAGGAGCTTGGAAGTGAAAGGCAGCAGGGAGATGGGTCTAAGGTTGTTAAGGTTACTGGGGTCAAGGGAGGGTTTTTTGAGTATGGGGGTGATGTGTGCGTGCTTTAGAGGGGAGGGGAAGGTACCGGTGGAATAGTGCCCTATTATTGCTGTAAGTTAATGGCACCCGCCCGTGGGTCCACATTCCTCTGTGCAGGTGGTGCGGCTGAACAGATTTTCATGCGGATTCGCAGCGGTACCACCTGCACATATGTGAACCAGAGCTTAGCCTTGGTTCACACCTGTGTGTTTTTTAGTCCATTTTGCAGAAATGCCCTACAGTCCATGTAACATGATTTCCTATGGGACATGTTCACATGTATGCGATTTCAGCCGCTGCTTTTTTTTGGAAAGAGATAGGGACTTTTTTTCCCACAGCAGATTGTGTTATTGTTGCAATAGACTTCAACAGAACCTCACCAAAAACACAAGTGTTGAGTTTCTGATGCGTTTTATATGCGTTTTTCTGGCTATTTTTGGCCAATAGGAAAGTATTGAATGCGACTTTGATGCAACTTTATACTCTCTGGCACTCAAAGTCACATCAAAGTAGTGCAGAAACTTCCTCAAAGTCGCTACAACTTTAAGTCACATAGATATGAAAGGGGTCCATCAATGCGCTGCAACTTTGATGTGACTTAGATGCAACTTTGAAAACCAGAGAACTTAAAGTCACATCAAAATTGCACTCAATACTTTCCTATTGGCCAAGAAATAAATAAGCGCAAAACGCATCAAAAACAGGAGGAATCAGAGGACCTTGTTAGAGCTTACAATCTAAGAGGGAGGGTCAAGAGATACAAAAGGTAATAACTGTGGGGGATGAGCTGATGGAGAAAAAAAGTTTAGTTGTTAGGTGGAAGCAGGATGAGCTTCTCCAAATCAGGGGTCTCCAAGCTTTGTGAACAAAGGGCCAGTTTACTGTCCTTCAGGCTTTACAGGGGCCAGACTATGGCCAGTGGGAGTAGAAGATGCCCCAGCATCAGTATAAGTAAACAATGCCCCATCATTGGTGATATTGGAAGGAATAGTGCCCCATTGTTAGTGTCAGTGGAGTGAATAGTGCACATATCATTGGTGTCAGTGGGAGGAATGGTGCCCCATCATTGATGTCAGTGGGAGGAATGGTGCCCCAATATTGGTGTCTGTAGGAGGAATGGTGCCCCATCATTGGTGTCAGTGGGAGGAATAGTGTCCCATCATTGGTATCAGTGGGAGGAATAGTGCTCTGTCATTGATATCAGTGGGAGGAATAGTGCCCAATAATTTGTGCCAATAGGAGCAATAGTGCCCCATCATTGGTATCAGTTGAAGGAATAGTGCCCCATCATTGGTGTCAGTGGAAGGAATAGTGCCCCATCATTGGTATCAGTGGAGTGAATAGTGCCCCAATATTGGTGTCTGTAGGAGGAATAGTACCCCATCATTGGTGTCAGTGGAGTGAATAGTGCCCCAATATTGGTGTCTGTAGGAGGAATGGTACCCCATCATTGGTGTCAGTGGAGTGAATAGTGCCCCAATATTGGTGTCTGTAGGAGGAATGGTGCCCCATCATTGGTGTCAGTTGGAAGAATAGTGCCCAATCATTTGTGCCAATGGGAGAAATACTGCCCCATCATTGGTGTCAGTGGAAGGAATAGTGCCCCATTGTTGGTATCAGTGGAGGTAATAGTGCCCCATATCATTGGTGTCAGTGGGAGGAATGGTGCCCCATTGTTGGTGTCAGTGGGAGGAATTGTGCCCTATTATTGCTGTAAGTTAGAGGAATGGTGCCCACTCATTTGTGCCAGTGGGAGGAATACTGCCCCACCATAGGTGTCAGTGAGATTAATAGTGCCCCATCATTGGTGTTGGTATATGGACTGATGCCCAATCAGTGATGTCAGTGGATGCAATGGTACATTAAGGGCCGGATAAAGGCAAGCAAAGGGCCACTTCTGGGCCATGGGCCACAGTTTGGTGACCACTGTTTTAAAGAGAAGGGTTTTCAGGGATTATTGCAAAGTGAACAGAATAGAAGATGGTTGGACAAATTGGGGCAAGGGGTTCCAGAAGATGGGAGAGGCTTGGGAAAAGTCCTGAAGGCGAGAATGGGTGGAGGTGGCAAGGGAGCTACAGAGCAAGAGGTGTTGGGAGGAATGAAGAAAACGATTTAGTTGGTATTTTGAGAAAAGGTTTGTGCTGTACAGTAGTTGGTGGAAGTGGGGGAAGGGGTTAGAAAACAATCGAGTGTCCTGTATGTACATTTGTGGACAAGGAACATGCCGACAGGAATAGAGAGATGACCTCATCAGTTGTCATCAGAACAGGCTTCTTCTATTAGGGACATGTCATGGTGAGTCCTGTCTGAGAAAGTGATTTCCCCGTCACTCTCTACAGATGTCCTCTCTTACCATTGTGTCTCTAAGATGTTCTCAATGTGTGCAGTGTATGTTCACATGGGCCCCAAGGTGGAGGGGATCCACCATGCAATCACTGCACACATTGGGGATTTGATTCCGGAAGCCCTTGTCCCTGCACCGCTGCCCGATGAACTGCAGCTGCTCTTGTCACGTATGGCAGCAGCCCACAGGAGATCAATATGCTGGCACCATACTCACACTGACAGTATGATGATCATATATGTACATCATATATATGTATGCCCTCACATCCTGACTAGTTCCTGTGGGTGCACAGGACAGGCTTTTCCTCACCAGAAACCACAGACTATTCTAAATAATTGAAAGTATTTATAGAGTCCAGTAAACACAACTAATAGTGTGCAGTCTACAGATCTGGAGGATGAGGGTCACGTGTTTATTGGAGGTAAATTAATTGCTGCCATTAATGGCGCTGATACTGCATGTAATGCCACCGAGCAGTACTAGGGTTGTCAGTTCGAATCCCAACAATGGCACCACCAGTTTGCATGTTCTTTCTGTGCCTGTGTGGGGTTCCTCCAGGTCCTCCGGTTTCCTCCTACACTCCAAAGACATGCTGGTAGGTTAATTGGCTCCTATCTAAGGCTAGGTTCACATATGTGCAGGTGGTGCCACTGTGGATCCGCACAAAAATCCATGCAGCCCAGGGGCGGACTGACCATTTGGAAACTCGGGCACTGCCCGAGGGCCCAGGGTCAGTAGGGGGCCCCATGAAATGCTCCTGGTACCTTTTTCATAGGCTTTTTTGAGTTTGGGCAAGGACACAGGGGCCCCATGATCCCCTATTGCCCGGGGGCCCCATGAGTTGTCAGTCCACACCACTTGCACAGAGAAATGTGGACCAGCGGGTGGATGCCATTAGTTCTAATAGCACGCTGCCTGCACTGGAAATCGCAACCGTACTGTGAACCGAGGTTCCTGTGCGGGCTGCGTTTTCAGAAGACGTGCAGGGAGTTCTTCCCTGCATGTCCCAGGGCACAGGAGTCCATTCAAATGAATGGGCTCTCATGCCGGCGCAAAATGTGAACTGCAGGAATGTGGATATGTGAACCGGGGCTAAATTGTCCCTAGTATGTGTATGTATGAATGTGAGTTAGGGACAGGGGCGGACTGACCATTTGGAAACTCGGGCACTGCCCGAGGGCCCGGGGTCAGTAGGGGGCCCCATGAGATGCCCCAGTGGTACCTTTTCCATAGGCTTTTTTGAGTTTGGGCAAGGACACAGGGGCCCCATGATCCCCTATTGCTCGGGGACCCCATGAGTTGTCAGTCCGCCCCTGGTTAGGGACCTTAGATTGTAAGCTCCTTAAGGTTAAGGACTGATGTTGATGAATATATATATGTAAGGCGCTGCGCAAATTGATGGCGCTATATAAGTACCTGAAATAAATAAATGAATAAATGCTCACATTTGTTTCAGTGGTTACATGCAATCAGCGCCTCTCACTGAGCCTGGCCACAGATGCTTTCACCCAGGGTCACTGGCTCTGGACATAGACACGTTGGACACTTCTAAGGCACCATTCACATCTAAGAGTAGTGTTTTTGTGCCTTTTTTTGCGCATTTGAAGATGTTTGTGCGTGATTTGAGTTCTGCCATTTTTGTATTAGCCAATAGAGAAAAATTTCATCTGTGACATCAACTGTTGCCATGTTTAGCCATGCCAGAAAAACACTCTTGGTCACGCAATAAAATGTGCAAAAGCGCATGAAAACTCATGATAAGCTCGTTTCCATTTATTTCTATGGGAATGAAAATGCGCCAAAAACACATCAATCTGCCTGAATGAAGTTACAAAAGTAGCTTCAAAACTTTTTTGAGCTTCAGGCGTTCTGCTTCAGGTGACTTGGAGTGGAGTTGTAACCATCTCCTTAGAGTAATATTGATTTTTTTTTTCTACCTGAGCATTTTGGAGCTTCGAGCTTTGCGCTACAAAACGCTCAGGTGTGAACGGAACCTAAGTGTCCCGAGTGTATGCACCCAGAGCATAGAGTGCGTAGCGTAAAATCTTGTGAAAGGGAGCCCAACTCATGATCTTTCACACAGGCCCACTGCATTCTGAAAACACCCATGGTTAAGCCTCGTACACACAATGAAAATATCGGACAAATGATCATCCGTTTAATTAATGTGTGCCAATCTAATATCGAAAATTAAGCGGTTGCTAAAGTTATAAAAGTTCTTGTTAGACAGATTACAACTTCAGAAGTGATGTAATGTATTTTATTGTCATGTATTCTTTTGTTTCCAAGCACGCATGATCTTTAGACATGTGCAGAACAAAAACATTTATTTTGTTTTGTTATTTAAATAATTTTGTTTAGTTTAAATTTATTTAATTCTTTTTTGGAATTTGTTTCATTTATTCAAATTTGATTTAAATTTTCCGAGTTCAGACAAACTGAATTCAGTTTGACCCGATCAAAAAGTATAGAATCGGCATTCGAATTCAAATTTATTCTAATTGAATTTCGGAAGACTGTTATATTCTTTCTATTGTATTCCATTCTTTTCTATTCTATTTTATTTTCTGTTCTATTTTATTCTATTTTCTATTCTATTTTTTTTATATTCTAATATATTCTTTCATATTACATTCTATTGTTCATTTGTATTCTATTCTTGTTTATTCTATTCTAATCTATTTTATTATTTTATATTATACCCTTTTATTTTCTGTTCCATTTTATTCTTTTTTCTGTTCTGTTCTCTTTTACACTATTCTATTCTTTTCTATTCTATCCTATTCCTTTATTTTGTATTCTGTTTATTTCTATTCTTGTTTTCTAATTCAATTACATTTTCGAATGATATAATTTTCTAATTCGATTTGAATCAGATTAGAATTGTAGACGTAATTTTGTTTTGTTATTTCCGAATTGTTTAAATTCGCTACTATTAATACTATATATCCAAATAACAAAAAATTCATACAATTTTCAATTCGGAACCAAACAAACCGCACGTGTCTAGCGGTCTTGGTCACTCGATTTATTTACAGACTAATACTGTTATCGTACAAGTACATTTTTTGCGCTTGTCCCGTCAGATAATTTTGCATGAACTGTCATAATCAGCTCTCGAAAGCTGTGCACTAACGATCAGGTTATCGGACGATCGGTTTGGGAGCGGTATTTTTTGTCAGATATTCTCATCGTGTGTACGTGGCTTTAGGCAACATTTCATACAGCTGTTGACCTTGTGGCCATTAGAGCCTCTATCCCTTCCTTTTAACACAGTGTTGTGGTGAGAACAGTACACTACACCGCCATGACATATACATGGGGTAAGCCAAGGAACAGCCGTGTCCTATTGTGTTAATAATGAACCAGAGTCTTACTTTCCTCCAAGACTTCAGTAATGAGATGCCTCTGGAGCTGCCAATGTGGTCTTCACTATATGGTTTCTTTTCTAGGAAGAATGGCATGTGGCCACCAGATGGTAGATTTCTTCTCTAACCGTTTAAACATAGATAGGAACTTTTAATACTCTAATGCTAATTGTAACGGAACCGACCCAGACTGCGCTTGAGTACTTCTGTTAGAATACCTCTTCCCTGTCCGAACATCGACAACACCACAGCCAACCATACAAGACTAGATGACACCAGTCTTGAAGTAAACCAGGTGGTAGACTAGTTTATTTGAACACAAATACAAGATATATACATTCAGGGGGCATTCCCTCCTCCCTGCATAATGGCACAGGGTGGGGCAATCTACATTTAGTAACAATAGACACACAGGTATTCAAACTTCACACCAGCAGACTGTCCCATCAGGAGGGAGGGCTGCTGGAGACCCCCCCTCCCCCCACTAAGCGAATACACATAAACACATACATCCCATCATAGTTTGCTCCCAAGCAAGACAAACAATAGAACAATGGGATGCAGCCACACAGCAACAAACAATCCAAAACCCCCATGCCACCTATCTCCTAGACATGTCTACACAATATTAGGACAGATCACCCTGTATCCCTAACAGGCACAGGGTGGCTTACACATAATAGGGATATTGGGAGCCGAGACAGGGGTCTCCCCACCTCTCCAAAGTGAGCTGGGTTCCATGGGCCCCCCACCCAAAGTGACTACTACTCAACACTAATGACCATGACCATGTTGGAATCTTTGGTGCACTTCTAACTTAATTTTTCTGTGGCTCCATGCCTGGAAGGTGTACCAGAGCTGCATTAGCCACCCAATGGAGTATCAGGGTCTGCTACTGGAGGCTCCAATTGTGATTTTTTTTTTAGACCTGCACACACATTTTATGGCCAGTTTAGACAGTAGTTAATTAACCCAATAACAAGTATTTGGAATGTGGGAGGAAACCTACCCAAGCTCAGGAAGAAGTTGCAAACTCAATACAAATAGAGTCAAACCAAGGACACCAGTGCTGCAAGGCATAAGTGTGAACCATTAAACCACTGTGATGCCCCATCCCCATCCAACACATTTTTTAAATTTGAATAGAACGGGTGAGATTTGTGTTCTGTGTCCATTTTTTTTTTACTACTGTCTGTGTTCTCACTGGGGAAATTTCTCCTCACTTCCTGTCCTGGCAACACCCAGAATATAAACTTTCTTATTTCCTCTCTGTGCAGAGTATTCCCAAGGAGAATGCACTAGTCAGTAATATTTTTACCAGCCCCTTATAGGTTCTATATGAAGCAATGTATTAGCTATGAACTCCAGAGTGAGGAAATAGGACATTTGGTGCCTCGGTGTCACCAGGACATGAAGTGAGGGCAAATCACCACAAGGACACAACAAAAGAGGA